GGGTCCTGAGATCCAGAAGGGACACAAGGGAAAGTAAAAGGATTTGAGAGTGTTGGACGGGTGGGTCTGACCCGTCAGGTGGGCTTAGGTGGTCTCAGCTAAGGTGCCATCAGATGATCAACAGTCACTAGAGCCTGAGCCACCCAGTGGCCTTTAGGAATTGTTCCCATGAGGGGTTGGGGCTCCGAGAGGGCCCCAGAAATCTCTCCTGGGTCCGGGTCTCAGCAGCACAATGTTAGAATTTAGAGATTGGGAAGGAAAATGAAGTCAGGAAAATAGATCAATGCCACACCTTCAACAGGACAAGACTACCTTTCATTCGATCATGGCGAGTGACAGCTGCTTTCCTGAGGGACGGAGGAAACTGTACTGTGTATGGGGAGAGTTAGAGATCACACAGGGGCTTGGGCATGAGAAAGCAGCTGCAGCTGCAGGGGCTCTAGTATCTCATTCTCTGGAGGCACTTGCTCAAACAGGACAGGCTATCTTGAGCAACAGCTTCCAATAGTCCGGGAAGTAGATAAGGGTCAGCAGCAGTTTCGGAGGTAGATAAGGGTCAGCAGCAGTTTCGGAGGTAGATAAGGGTCAGCAGCAGTTTCAGAGGTAGATAGGAAAGCAGCATTTTCTAATTTTCTGCAATGGAGCAGTCTATCAATAGGAATATCTAGGATGGTCGGGTTCTAGGGGTAATTTGATATAGGTTTTCACTGTTGTTGTCTAGTACTAAAGGTGGAGGCCAGAACTTGAAGCACACTAAGCACATGCTCAGAGGTACACCTACACCCCTGGTACCACATGGTTAACATTTCTTTTTGTTTTTCTTGAGACAGGGTTTCATATATTGTTATAGTCTGTGACCCGCGAATGCCCCAAACAGACAGCAGGTGAATCTAGAGAAGGAAAGATAGATTTATTACAGCTGGGCTACACTCTTTCCTAAAGGGTCCAAGAGTAGCATTGAGCCTAAGCACTCTGGCTCTTTTTATATTGATCATGTTGCTAGGTAAGCAAGCAGAATACAGAAGCTAATAATTGAGTGTTAAGCTTGAGCAAACATTATCAAGGAAATACATAAGAAAATACAATTTTCCATCCAAACCCCCCACCCAAACCATAGTACATCTGCATTCCTTCCTCCTCATTCATATCAATCTTATTATTTACCTTGCTTTTCTGGTCACAAAGTTCCCTCTGGGGGGTTTTGTTGTATAACAATTGTATCCTAGAAATAAAATTTCCCTACGTCTTCCAACCAGAAAGGGGTCTGTTAGCAACAATTACTATTTTGCAGAAGCAAGCCAAGCATAACCCACAGAAGCCATAAATCAGCAGTTAGCAGGAGAACTCTAGGATGCTCTTACCTGTTCCCAAGATAACCAGGGCCCAGCTGGCATTCCCATACCCTGGGCCAACTGTCTGATAATTTCAGAAACTAGAGTCAGCCTAAATTTTAACATGGTGTAGCTATGGTCAAGAAGGTATACTCTTACAATATGTTTTAGTCTGGCCTCAAACTTTCTAGCTGAGGATGGCCTCTACTTTCCAAGTACTGGAATTGCAGGCATGCAGCTCCACACCTGACTGGGTTTTGTTTGTTTGTTTTGAAACAGAGACTTGTTATATGTTGTAGTTTAGGGGTCTTGATTGGGTTCATTTTCTCTGCCAGTTGAAGAATTAAAAGCAGGAAAAAAACCTCAGGCATAGCAAAGAGCAACAGGCAAATAAACTTGAAAGATAAAGTATCACACACACACACACACTCAGTGAACAGCTCTCCACAGTGTAAAGGGGACTCAGAAACTGAAAAATCCAGAGCCTCCAGAGGGGTTGGGTCTTTTAAGTGTTTTTGTTGGTAGGGGGCAGAGCTCCCTTTACTGATTTTGGATTGGTTAACTTAAAGAAAAGAGAGTCCCTAGGTCACAGCTCCAAGCTGCCAGGTCTGGACTTGATCTTATCTAAGCTGGTCTGAACCAGTCTGTCAGAAAAGGGCCCTACTGGTGGGAGAAAAAGTCTGCTATGTCTGTCTTAGACCAAGAAGCAGCAGGAGGTGTGCCAGCAGTGACTCTGTTTGGTCATTAAGTATTTAGTCTCTTACAAACTCACCATGTAGCTCAAGATGATTTCAAACTCAGTATCTCCTGCCCTAGCCTCTCATGTATTGGGATGACAAGTGTGCACCACCACATCCTGCCAATCATGTATAACTTTTTAAATTAAAAACAATTATTTTATTTGTGTGTGTGTGTGTGTGTGCGCGCACGCACATCCATGTGGTTGCCCAAGGAGGCCAGAGGGCATTGGACACCCTGGAACTGGATTTATAGGTGGTTGTGAGCCACCTGACATGGTCACTGGGAACTAACCTCTGGTCCTCTGAAAGAGCAGTAAACAATCTTAATCATTGAGCAATCCCCCACATTTGATTTTTTGAAGAACTGTCATACCATTTTTTTCAAAGCACTGGGAAGTGCCCACCCTATGTGGGGACACTTGCTCATGTCCTTCTCTCTGTCAGATAGAAGTATCCAGTTTCCACTCCAGCCTGAAGGGTTTGACTCTGTTCTGTATGTATTACCAGCTCAACACTGGGAAATGAGTGGCTGAATAGTGTGCCCAAGGGGGCCTGGATGGGTCTCAAGATATTAGGCCTGGAGGGCAGCAGAGAAGGATCTGGTATCCCTTGAGCCCTGGGGATAAGCTAAGTAGCCAAGGAATCTTTGGAGGGGGGTGGTGTTCAGTGAAAGTTCAGTGCTCTGGCACATGAAGGGCTAAAAGTGTGGGATAAAGCATCTGCTCACCACATCAGACCCCTGGAACACTCATGTGACCTGGGATTGGGTAGAAGCTACTAACTAGAGTCTCAGCACCCAGGCAGCATCCCTATCCCTGAGTGTTTGGAGGAAGATGTTTGCAAGGGACCTCTATGTCCCTTAGGAGCCTCCACAGGTGCCCAGGACCTGGCCCCCACTCTCTAACACAGGTGCTCTAATGTTCTCTGAGCTCTAGCTCACAGGCCTACCTGCAGGACCCCAGAGCCTTAGTCACTACCCCAAGAGTCAAAGCCAGCCAGTCTTTGTCCCTGGTCTGGCAAGCACCTGCTCACCTCCCTAGCACACCACCCTCCCTTGCAAGAACCAACCCTGCCTCACTCAAAGCCCAAGGATATTCTCTCTCCATCCTGACAAGGCTCCAGCCCCCTTCCAGTTCTATTACCTTGGAACCATCCATGTCTTCCTTCCTCAAGTAGATCATCCTTCTGGTTCCCTGGTCCCCATCTCCCGACTATCTCCCGCCCTTCTTCGTATGGGCTTAGCCCTCTACCCCAGCAGCCAATGACCTTGTGCAAATCCCCACCAGTCCTTACTCTGCTTAAAACAGTTGCAAGAGTAAAGAGCAAGGATGGCATTTTAAAAACTGATGTCATTGTGAGTTCTTGGGAGCATCGGGATCAATCTTCTGGAAAGACTGTTCTGTTGAGAAAATGCGTTAATGGAGCTGTTTGTCATTCACAGGCGGTGGGGTACAGCGGGTGGGGTACAGGCTGGGGAGAGGAGCAGCCTTCACCACATCATGCCAGAATTAGTCTGTAAATGACTATCCCAGGGTGGAGAGGGCCCTTCTACCCAAAGAAATTGTTAGAATGTTCATTTAATGTTGAGAGACTGGCAGTTTTCCCAGCACTGTAGGGCAAAGGGAGGGCCAAGCCAACCCAGCAGAGGAACTGACCTTATAAAGATAAGTCAGAATCCTGCTTGACTCCTTCTCTGAAGCCCCAGACCGGCCTCTGGTCCATGCAGCTCTCATCTCTGGGGATGAATGCCAGTAGGTATGGGGGCTGGGGCAGTGGTCAGGGCCCAAGACAGTAGGTGGGAGGCCTGGGCACTAAGTCCACAATGTTCAGAAGTTCTGTGTGGTCTTAGGTCTCTCCCCTACCTGGGCTTCAGTCTCCACATTTACCAAATGGGAGTGATAATAATATTCCCTGTTTCTCATGATGAAATTCTGATGAATCAGAGACTTAGATATAACTTTATAACATGATGTCTCTAGACATTAATGTACATATTTTAAAACATCTTAAAACATTTGTTTTTGAAGGTATCTTTTAGATTCAGTTCTAAGTGGTATTTAGGATTTGGGATTTTTATTATTTTGTTGTTGTTGTAGTTGTTTTGTTTTGATGCAGTGCCTTGCTCTGTAGCCTAGGCTGGCCTAGAATTCATGGCAATCCTCCTGCCTCAGCCTGAGTGTTGGGATTACAATTTATGAGTTTGAGATCAGAATGGGCTACAGAGTGAGACCCTGTCTCAAAACACCAAAACAGGCGGGTGTGGTGGCACATGCCTTTAATCCCAGCACTCAGGAAGTAGAGGAAGGTAGATTTTTGTGAGTTCAAGAACAGCCTGGTCTACATGAGAGTCAATGCTGCATAGTTGAGTCCTGTCTGAAACAAAAACAAAATGCCACCAAAATAAAGCAACAACAAAATAACAAACTTTACTGCTTCCTATAGAAATTTCATTGATTTTTGCATTTGGAAAAGTTGGCATATTTTCTTACTAATTTAATCAGTTATCTGTAAGGGTTTTTGAGAATGTGTGTAATGCACCAGGTGCATGTAATGACTGTGTAGGCCAGAAGAGGTGTCGGATCCCCTGGAACTGCAGTTACAGATGATTGTTAGCCACCATGTGGGTGCTGGGAACTGAACCTGGGTCCTCTGGCAGAGCAGCCAGTTCTCTTAACTGCTGAGCCATCTCTCCAGCGCCCCCACTTTTATTTTTTATTTTTTGCTAGTAGTTCTGAAGGGGAATGCTGCCCCCTAGGAGAAATTTTGGAAATATGTAGGGAGGATTTTTATTATGCCTAAAATATAATTATTTTAATGTATTTTCCTTTTGTTTATATTTTATATTAAAATCATACACTTTATTGAATTTTTGAAACTATATGTGATTATACTGTGTAGGAATTTTATTTCAGGATGGTGAGTGTGGAGGTGGCATCCTTACAGAAAGAGGAAGTTTAGCTTCTTTATAGGCATGCAGGCCGTGACGCTGGGCACCGGGTCTGATGGAGTTCCCCAGCCGCAAGTCTAACGAGGACGCCGGAAGCTCCGGCTACTCCTTGCCTCTCTAGGCGCCATCTGACACTGCCCACCTGGAGGTTTCAGTCCCGCTGGCCAGCCTCGCACCTCCACGGAGTTGCGGATCTTTGCCAAACCAGAGCTTAGAGCAACGCTAACCACGCACCGTGTGGCAGGCGCGCCCCCTGGTGGCGCACCGTCCTGGAGGAGACACTAGGCGGGCCTGATAGGCCTGGAGACACCTGTTCCACGGCCAGAGTGGCCTTTCCTGCGCTTGGATATTGGAGCAAGCCAGCTTCAAAGATGACTGACCAGGACCCAGATTCACACAGCCGATCAATTACTGCGGCCTTCCCACCTTTCTGAGCTAGGATGTTATGAACTTTTTATATCTTTGCCAGTAAAATGGAGATAACCTGTCCAGGCACTGGGAGGAAGGCATACAAGCAACAGACTCAGAACCAATGATGCTCAGTTGTGCAGAATGAGAGACCGCATCCTGAAGGTCTGTGCAAAGAAAGCACAACTCTCTAGTGTTCATTTGCTCATTGTTTCATGACTGTGCATCTACTCCTTACGGATTTATTGGCATAGGGATGGACAGAATAATGGTCCGCCAAGAATGTCCAACACGCTAACCTCTGAATAATGGTCTGCCAAGAATGTCCAACACCCTAACCTCTGAAACCTGGGACTATATCAGGCTACACGTGCAGGACAAGGTGAAGGATACAGATGGAATGAATAGTGCTGATCAGCTGGTTTTAGAAAGGAAGATATTAGTTGAGTGTGGAGGCCAACCCTGTAATTCAGCAGGAGACAGGAGGCTCAGGGTTTCAAGGTCATTCTTTAATATACAGCAAGTTCCAGGCTAGCCTGGGCTACGTGAGACCTTGCCAATAAACAAACAAAAAGATATGAAGGTAAGCCTGGATTACCCAAGCAGACTCAGCATAATTGCCAGGTACTCTGAGTGCTAGATACCTTGGGCTAGATTCCCAAACCAGGGAAGTCTCCTTGTGGAAGGAAGAGACAGAGAGTAGAGAGAAACTTGGCTATAGCAAAATATAGCATTGCTGGTTTTGCAGCCCTCGGGAATCTGGGGAAGAAAAAAAAACAATGGTGTGTGTGTGTGTGTTTCTTTAGAACACCCAGGAAGGTAGGCTGTCTTGCCAGCATCTTGACCTTAGCCCTCCCAGACCTGTGCTGCCAGACAGAACTGTGGGATGATAAATGTGTGTAGTTCTAAGCACCCAGGTTGGTGAGGATTTGTTACAACAGCAACAGGAAACTAATACAATGTCCTCAGCACTGGGACAGATGGGTCCTCATCCACGAGTTCACGCACTGGCTAATGCATTTAGGAAGTATCCCCTACGGCCCACTCAGAAGGAAGGCCAGTAGCCTTCACTCCTGGGGGTTTACAGGCAGGGCTGCAGAGAGGTCGGTTGGCTGGTGTCTCTGCTGCTCTGAATGTACTTCAGTTTTCTGTTTTGCACAGTGAGAATTTTGACCTCACAAGGGTCCTGCAGCACGGTGGCAGCATGACTGCCAGATGCCACTCGGTTCCATGTGCAAACTGACTTCTGGGAAAGTGAATGACTGTCAGTCCAGCTCCGCTCATCTGTAGAGGAAACGGTGGAAGTGACCATTCGTGTTGGCACTGCACTTGACAGCTGATATTGATCTTGGCCTCATACCCCTCTTGCTGCACTGCCCACAATGAGTGGAGGATGGAAGCTAGCCAGAAGGCTTCCAGAGGATGATGCACAGCAGGATGACTATACTGGCCCAGCAATCTTTGAGTTGGCTTAAAACAAGAACAAAACCCACCTATGCCCCTGGAGCCACCCCCAGACCAGCAGGACCAGAATCCCTAAAGTTGGAGTCAGGAAAATATGCAAGGATAATGCATTTTCCAGCTTCTTCCTCAAGGTGACATCAGTGTGCATCTGGGGTTCAGATGGGAAGAAAGATGCGCTCTCAGCATGGAGTGCTGAGCCTAAAGTTGCATCTGCCTGGGGGCAGAGGCTGCTCATCTGGCCAGTGCAATCCAGAGGCCTCAGGAGACAGTACGTCTGTGACTACAGTGCAGCTCAGGGTTGTGCAGCGCCTTCCACATGAGCAGCATCTCATAGGGAGCGAAGCGGTGCACCAGCAGCAGCTCGCGGTACATGCAGGGGTCGAAGGACTGGCGCTGGGCGCCAGGCAGCCGCACCCCAAAGGGCCGGATGCCCTCGTGGCCGCTGGGCGCTAGGCCAGCGTACTGCAGACACATGCCCATGTAGGCGTCGTCGATGGGGAAGAGCGGGACGTGAAGAGCGGCCTTACGCAGGGCCTGGGCCGTGTGACTGGACAGGAGAAAGCCTCCGCCGCTGCAGTACACCGGGTAGGCCTTGTCAGGGAAGAGCTGCGGAGGAACGAAGTACTTGCTCCAGCTGTCTCGGATGGGCACCGAGCCGTCCATGAGCTGCCCGATGAAGAGGTGGCGCTCCGGCGACTGTGCCTCCAGGAAGTTGAGCATGTTGGCGGTGTGCACGAAGACGTCGTCGTCGCAGCTGAGCAGGAAGCGGGCGCCCGGGCAGCGCGCCGCCGTCCAGTCGAGCAGGTGCAGGTGCTTGAGCGTGAGGTTGAGGAAGGTGTCGGCGAAGTCCCACTGCAGCACGTCGCCGTGCTCGCGCGCCTCCAGGCTCAGCAGCTCCGCCAGCTGCGGCTCGCGCGCCGCCTCATCGGGCGCGGACGTGCCCAGCAGGAAGACGCGACGCACCTGCCGCCCGCCGTAGCTGCGCTCCTGGCCCCACGTGCGCCGGATCAGCTCCCGCCGCTCGTAGTGCGCGGGCGACGACTTCACAGCCAACAGCAGGAAGACGCCGCGGCGGCCCACGCACTTGCTGGGCGAGTCCCACAGCTGCTGGAAGTGGCGGCAGTGGCGGTACAGCAGGAAGTCTTGGATCCGCGCAGGCAGTAGCTGGAAGCCAGCGGTGCTGTTCGCCGAGGTGTTGGCCACGCACAGAGGTCCCTGGAGGAGCCTCGAGCCCTGCATCGCAGAAGCGGGAGAAGAGGAAGCGGTGTCCTGGCCGTCCGCCCTCTCGTCCTGCGGGGACCCTGGGAGGAACCACTGGCTCAGTACCACAAAACTCATGCCCACCAGAAAGAAAGCCAGTGTCTTGAGATTCATGGACCTGCGGCAGGGCAAAGCCATCTGTGGAGGAAACCAAGTCAGAGATTTGGCTAGGAGTCGCTGACACCAGTGGAAGGTCTCTCTACCCGATCTGTTCTCTCCCAGAACCGTGCTCAGTCTTTTCGAAAATCTCTTAAAGGTTAAAAGAAGCAGAAATTTGAGTCATGGTGGTATATGACTGTAATCTGTGCATTTGGGAGGTGGAGGCAGGAAGATCAGGAGTTCAGGGTCATCCTCCGCTACATAATGGGTTCAAGGCCAACCTGGAAACAACAAACAAAATCTGCTGGGCTTGGGGAAGTCTCTCAGTTGGTAGAGTGCTTGCCCAGTACAAAGGAAGTCCAGGGTTGGAGCCCCAGCACGACATAAATCAGACACTGTGGCTGGACTCTGTAAGCCCAGCACTCCAGAGGTGGCTTCTGTGACTAGTAATAATCAGATATTTAGAGATTAGAAATGCATGTGCAAACATCCAATGTCAATTGCATTGAAAAAGAATTTTTCTGTATGAAACTGTGTATTTTAATAATGAAATGGAGATCTTTTTTAAAGGTTAAAACGTCATTTAATTTATGTCTTATAGGGTTTATAATGAGTACAATATTGTATAACTGTAATAATTCAACTGTAAACCTAAAAATTTACAGCCAATTTTGAAAGAGATGCATCCTACCTCAGGAAACCGTTATTGAATATGTCAATTGTGTTGTAATGATATGCTTCTTCTAAGTATGTTGTTATTAAATAAATAATTTTTAAAAAATTTTAAAAAAAGTCACTCTTGACTGCATATGAGTTGGAGGCCAGTCAGAGCTACCTGTTTTTTTTTGGGGGGGGGGGCTTCTAATGATACAGGCCTCTAGTTTCAGCATTCAGAGAGGCTGGGACAGGAGAATCACTGAAATTGAGCAGAACAATTCCTGAAAATACTGTCTCAGGTGTCTCACAGGAGAGTTCTAACCTTCAGATCCCCGTTTCTCTGCTGCTGCGCATCCTCCCGGTTATCACCCAGGCTGGCAGATACATGTCGAAAGTCAGTTTTCATCTTGCTGTGAGTGGTCATCCTGTCCTTCCCACCTCTGGCAGTGGTACCACCATTCACCCAGTTGTTCATCCAGGAGCCCTGCACCCCTTCCTCTGCCTTCGGTTTGTAGCTGATGATTTCTACATTTCAGGTTTGTTCCCTCCTCTCCATCTTTGTCCAGCCAGATAGATCCTGTCTGGGAGGACCCTGTAGCATGCAAATGCTGCTTGCCTTGGTTCAGCTTTGGCTTCTGGTAAAGAAAACTCTTTGCAGCTGATCAAGGGAGCCTGAGGCCAGGGTGCTGAACCAAACTAAGTGTATGGCATTACTGCCTGGAGCTGCACCACAAGCAGGTCAGTCAAATGTCTGATGTCATTTGTAATAGAAGATTAGATTACTGCTCTCTCAAGGGCTGTGGTGGGAATTAATTGAGTGTCCTGTTGGCCACTGAATGATATCAAGATGATGACTTTGGGATCCTCCATCTCCACATGCTTCTGTGTCTACCTGTTGGTATTTGTTGTTCCCCAAGCCTTCAAGAAGGTCAGACCCTGCCCTGCACGTAGCCTGCCCCTACATGCCTTAAGTATGGCCCTGCTAGGACAAATCCCCCCTCTTTAACCTTTTCCCCACTTAACTGTGCCCTGTTAAACTCAGTCACGTTGACTTCACACAACATTATCACTTTTGGGTGGGTGGGGGGCAGGGTCTCATATAGCCTAGTTTGGCCTCAAATTCAGTAAACAGCCAAGGATGATGACCCTGACCTCCTGATCCTCCTGCCTTCACCAGGAGTGCCGGGAACACAGGCATGGCCAGCTGCCTTCTTAAAACACAAGCATTATTTGGGCTTATAGATTTCAAGCTTTCCTGGCTTCTCTCCTTTTGTCTTTTCCTTTTTTATTTTGTTTTGTGTTTTGAGACAGGTTCTCTGTAGTTCTGGCTAGCTTGGAACTCACTATGTAGATGAAGCTGGTCTCAAACTTGCTGTGATTATCCTGCTTCTGCCTCCCAAGTTCTGGGATTACAGACATACTTGACTGTGCCCAGCTCCTTTTTACTCTTTGACCACTGTCTCTTAGCTCCTTTGCTCAATTCCCCATCTCTAGTGGCTTTCAGTAGTGGGAAGTTTCCAGGGTTCTGTCTCAGTCACTTCTTTGGTAAAGAACAGAGTCTACCTCTAGGTGGAAACATGCCTGGGCCTCTTCCCTTAAAGGTTAAACCAGCGGGGCAGGCCGGGGACCACCCCTAGGAAGGTAGGTTTACCTTAAAATAATGTGCTTTTCCTTCCCAGAACTCCCACCCCCAGAGCAGTCCCTACAGGCTGCTTAACCATGAGGTTCAGCTGGGTCTGTCCACCTTTTAACTATTTCTTCTTTTTTTCCTTTTAGATACTGCCCAAAGCCTAAGTATGCTCTTAAACCTACTTAAGCTTCCTTACTCTTTTCTAAAGCTCCCCTGCCTGTCATGTGGCTGCCTACCGCCAGGTGGCTGCCCAGACTGCCTCATTTCAAGCAGCATGGCTTTTGCTCCTTTCTCCATTCTCCTCCCTTCCTGGAAGCTGTGCAATTTACACCTTGCCTGCTCTGGGGTTTTCCTTTTAAGCTCTAACAAATTGCCTTTGAGCTTCCTTTTGTGTTCATTCTTTATCCTCCAGCTTCTGTTTGTGACCATTCTTAAATTCTTTTATTAATGAGACTAAGAACCCAAGAGGAGACCTCAATTATCCAGGTACCATATGATGGCTCTGCTGGGACTCCCCAAGATTTCCAGTAACAATTCCCTGCCTTTTAATTCTTTAACTGGCAGAGACGAACAAACCCATTCCTGCACTCCCAGACAGCATCATGTTCACCTTTATTCAGACTGATCTCTCTTATCCAGAGCCCTATAGCCAGTCATTTACTTAACTTCATGTGACTGTCCATAACCACCTCAGTGGTAATCTGAATTATCTTGCCTTCCCTCCCATAGCCATCCTGAAGTATAACCATCTACTGCACTATTTAAGCCAAAAACATTGAGGAGCTAAGGATATAGCCCACTGCTTGCTTAGCACATGTGAGGTCCTGGGTTTGATCTCCAGCACTGTGAAAATTAGGAGTGGCAGCACATGCCTGTAATCCCAGCACTCAGAAGGATCAGGAGTTCAAAGTCATCCTTAGTTATGTATGGAGTTTGAGGTCAGTCTGGGCTACATGAGACCCTCTCTCAAAAACAAAACAAAACAACAAAAAAAACCACACAAAAAACAACCAAACAAAAAATACCTTGATTGATTTCCTCCATTTCTATACTCAAGTCTGAGCATGTGTATTTCATCAGCCTACATAATTCCATCCTTCCATCAGGCTGGTCCTAGCTAGTATCTCCTGCTCAGAAGTAGCCCCCTGCTCATTTTCCCTCCCACTGTCTCCCAACAGCCAGAACCTCCTCTTCAGCAGCCTGGATAAATCTTAAACAGCGCAGGTGCATTGCTCTTTTTCCTCCTGCTCTTTCCCCAGCCACCTGGCCTGGCTGTCAGCCAAGTAGCAGCTTCCATCTGCCACACCTCTTCCTATCCTGGAGTTTTGTCCTGTGCTGTTTGCTGACCTGGCCTTGCCTACTCATCCTCTCGTACACTTGAAAAGGTGAATCCTTGAGAAAGCTTCCATGAAGGTCAGAGGAGAGAAAATAACCAGTCAGTCATTCCCTGTTACCTTCCCTCCTAACCCACCAGCATCTCAAGAGCAGGGATAGAATCTGTGTTCTTCACTATTGTAGGCCCAGTGTCCTGCATAGGCCAAGGGACAGTGTAATGGGGAAAATGCTGCTTGTCTAGGTTCAGATTCTGCTTTCTAGCTTCATGCTTTAGCAAGCAGATGTAGGTTGTCCTGTGCCTGCTCCTCAAAAGTTGTATTTATTTGAAACATGATCTAACTCTGTAATCTAGGCTAGCTTCAAACTCTGGATCCTCTTGCCTTGGCCTCCCAAGTGTTGAAATCACTAGTGTGTGCCACCACACCCAGCTTCCATTGAAGAAGTTTTTTGTTTACTTTTGCTTTTTTCACTATTTTGATATGTGTAGTACTTAGCAAGGCCTTGGCTATGCTAAGCAACTGTAGTACCACTGAGTTGCATCCCTACCTCTCTTAGGAGCTTTACTGAAGATTAAATAGTAATGTGTATAAAGAATGTATTGGGGCTGAGAGATGGCGCTGCTCTTGTAGAGGACCTGGGTTCTCAATCCCAACACCCACATGGAAGCTAAAAACCATCAGTAACTCCAGTTTCAGGGGATCCGATGCCCTCTTGTATGCATAACACGAGTGGACTTGCATACATGCAGGCAATACACTCATACACATAATTTTTTAAAAATAATTTATTATAGCCGGGCGTAGTGGCACACACTTTTAATCCCAGCACTTGGGAGGCAGAGGCAGGCGGATCTCTGTGAGTTCAAGGCCAGCCTGGTTTACATAGTGAGTTCCAGGACAGCTGGTGCTACAGGGAGATCCTGTCTCAAAAAGATCCCCCCCCCCAAAATTATTATAGTAGTCAACTATGGAAAAACATGCATATAATCCCAGTGATAGAAGGTGTGAATTGCAGAAGAGCCACAAGCCTCATTAGGGAAAGCCATAAATCCCTTAAAGTGACCAACTAGCCATAAACTGGCAGGCTGGCCTTGCTCAAGCCTTATGAACTGATCATTTCCTGAATTGAAGGAGACTATTTATGGAGCTAGCCTGTCTCCTTTAGTGCCCTAACATAGCTTGCCTGCCTGAGAAATGATAATTTGGGGAGAGAGACCCTCAAGGACCTCAAACCCTGACACAGAGCTAACTCTTACAGCTGTGTGCAGCAGGATTCCTATAAAAGTGGAAACCGGGGGCTGGAGAGATGGCTCAGCAGTTAAGAACACTGGTTGTTCTTGCAGAAGACTCAGGTTCGAATCCCAGCACCCACATGGCAGCTAACAACTGTCCATAACTCCAGTCCCAGGGGATCTGACAGCCTCTTCTGACATCCCCAGGCATTGCAGGACACAGGTACACTTACCTACATGCAGGCAATACACGAATACATATAAAATAAAAATAATAAAATATTTTTAAAATAGTGGAAACCGCCCCTCCCTTTGATGTGCATACTGTATTCATTCAGAAAGGTTTCAGTCCTTTGCTGTGTTCTCTGAATAAAGAGTACACATTCCTTGTGTGTTGCAGGTCTGGCTTTGACTCTTATTTCTAAACTCATTTATCTCCTCTCCTAAATCTAACACCCAGCACTTGGGAGGCTGAGGCAGGATGATCATGAGTTAGAAGCCAGCCTAGCCTATATAGTGAGACTTGTCTCAAAAAACAAAAAGGGGCCAGGAGAAGTAGCTCAGTGGGGTAAGGTACCTGCCACTGAGCCTAATGACCT